GTACCATTCTCAAGACTTTAATCAAATAAGTTAGTTATCAATACCCTATGTTATGCATTTTATGATTGAACCAAAAGAACAAAACTACTCACTGTTTGATTATTGATAATTCTAAGATTATAGAAGTTGAAAGTGTGTAATTGGTTTTGAACTATAGACTTTATTTCTTACTAGATGTGAAACTTGTAAATGTATTGTCCACATATTGCTTGCATTGTCGCTATTACATAAAATGATTAAGATAATAAAGGGGAATTGAACATAGTTAGTGACTTAGTGGAATAACCAACACAACGAAAATACGAATTAGTTATAGTCTAGCATGCTTACTAGATAATTTTAACCATTCTTATAAGTCTCTATGTAGAATTAATGAAACAGAAAGCTTGAATATTATTTCTCAGAGAACCACCATATATAATACAAGCTAAAACAATCCCAATCAAGATAGAATTAGGAAAGTATCAAAAGATATTATTAACTACCTAAAATATGCTATCAAAGATATCCTAAGATATTTGGAAAATATATCCTATTTTCCTCAATACCCCCCTCAAGTTGGAGCACTCGGATCATAGATGCCCAACTTGGAAAGAAGAAAATCAAACTGTGATTTCCCAAGTCCCTTGGTGAATATATCTGCTAACCGGAAAGAAGTAGGCACATAGGATGGAGATATTAACCCTTCATTGATTGCATCATGGACAAAATGACAGCCAACTTCAATGTGTTTGGTGCGTTCATGAAACACCGGGTTTTTAGCAATATGAAGGGCCGATTGACTATCACAAAACAACTTGATTGCCTGAGGATGTTCAATCCCCAAACTCAATAACAAGGCCTTTAACCATTTCAACTCCAACATAGCGGAACACATGGATCTATACTCTGCCTCAGACGATGAAGTAGCCACCGTAAGTTGCTTCTTGGTTTTCCAAGAAATTGGAGAATGACCAAGAAAAACAAGCCATTCTGTCAATGAACGACGAGTGAGAGGACATGCCGCCCAATCCGAATCACACCAATCCTGCAAGGTTAGATCACTAGTTGCACTCAACAGAATTCCTTGACCCGGGGTACCTTTCAAATATCGAACCACACGCAAGGCCGCTTCCCAGTGCTCAGAATGCGGCTCTTGCATAAATTGAGACAAAACATGCACTGAATAAGCCAATTCCGGTCGTGTAACCGAAAGATAAATCAATCTTCCCACTAATCTTCTATAGAATGCAGGGTCCTTGAGCAATTCACCATTAGCAAGGCCGAGCTTATGGTTTTGTGGAATAGGAAAACCAGTCGGCTTTGCCCCTAACAAACCTGCTTCAGAAATAATATCCAACGTATATTTTCCTTGGCACAAAAACACACCAGATGAACTACGAGCCACTTCTATACCCAAAAAATACTTCAAGGGACCAAGGTCCTTCATCTTAAAACAATCACCAAGGTAAGCTTTAAACACAGTCAAAGCAGCGGAATCGTTCCCAGAAAGAATAAGATCATCTACGTACACCAAGACATTAATCTGAACATTGCCTCTAGTGTATGTAAAAAGAGAGTAATGATAAGTGTCATTTATGTCGCTATTTTTAAGAGTTTTCTAGTTATTTTTTCATAGTTTTTATATCTTTTTACTTGGTTTTAATAACGTTTTATTACATTTGTCATGATTGCGTGTGAAATGTCGTTATTGCTCAATTTTGGCTTTTCTTGCATATTTTGGTTGCTTATGGCATTAGATTAAACTTTATTGGTTTATTATTATGTTTAGGAACACTTGGATAAGTTCATTGCTCAAGATTGAAGAAATATAAAACATAAAAGAACAAGTAATGAAGAAATGTGCACTTGATTTGCAATGATCGAACTTCAAACGCCTATATCTTTTGATCTACAAAACATTTTGGGGCAATTCTAATTGGAGATGAAAGCTTATCTTGAGAGCTTTCCAAAGACAGGCCATATGCCCAATTCCGTTGTAAAACGTGGGAGATATGCTCATTTGAAGCTGATCGGTTTGCCCAGTCCGATAGGAGCGGGCGCGCATCCTATGAGGAGCGCCCTGTCACGTGCCGACTACTTTGCCCTAGTCACGCACCGTGCGCCACCCGCTTACAGTCCGTCGTAAGATGAGTCAGGCTTTCTCCTTGGCACTTACTCCTTGTGCCCACGTAGCACAACTCCTTGTGCTGCTAGTATAAGTTTGCTAGCACGATCCCTTTGTGCTAACAAGTCCTCTTTGGTTGAACTAAGCACTCACCCTTAGTGCCTTAGTCCGAATTTACGACTAAGTGTCGTAGACAATTGAGCACCCAAGCTATCACCCTTGCTGGTATGCCCGATCACTCACTTGGCACCCTCGTGCCTTAGTTTTCCTCACACTCTCTAAGTGTTTCAAGGAAAGAGATTGAGTTGCAAGAGAACACAAGTGCTTCTGGAATGTCTTTTGTATTACTCTCAACTTATAGCTCTTAACTTGTTGATCTCCCAACTTGAATGTACAAATGAGCCTTGGAGCCTATTTATAGTGCTCCATCCTACTTACATGCTTCTCTAGAAAATTCCTAACCTCCTCAAATGGAGGGTTCTAGACTACAACAATCTAGAGTGTTCCCACCTCCTTAGGAACTACCTACATGGAGGTTTCTACATCCTTCCCTAGCTAGAATGTTCAAGACAACCCTAGAACATTCTAGAACGTACAACACTTATGCACATGGATAGAAGACCCTAGACACTTCTACTATGTACATGAAAACCCTTGAATATTCTAGAGACATTCCCTCTAGAATACTCCTTCAAAAGAACCTTGTAGATAGCTCCGGAACCTTCTAGAAGCATCTCGCGTTTTCCGGACTACCTGCTGCCAAAACTCGTATTTCGGGACCTTGTCTTGGAAAACTGACACCACCATCGTCTTCCTTGGCCCAAAATACTGTGGACCCCCGAATTTGGGCCCATTTGGACTTCATTTGGGTCTCCAAACCACCCATTATTGTGTTACTGTCAAGTGGGTGTTCACTAGGATTCTAAGCAAGGTGCAATATAAAGCTCTTTAGGGGGAAGTGCTTACCTGAGCACCAAGGCAAGCCCCCTAGCCCCGATTGTTGCCTTGCTGCCTAGTGACCCTCTTGACGCCCATCCTTGGTGTGGGAGATGACCCGTGACAGCCCGCTCCAAACTTTCTGGAACGATTCTGCCATATTTTGCTGCAACTAGGAGCGCCCGTGCACGAAATTGGAGCGCCCGCTCCTCTGCACGCTGCTCGACTTTGCGGAGCTTCCTAGGCAATTTAGTAAGGGTATAAATAGATTTTTTGCTCATTTTTAGAGGGGAGAATTCATATTTTCAGTAGTTTTAGGTTTTTAGAGAGAGAAACTCTCAAATTTTGGAGAGAGAAAGTGAGAGAAACAATGGTTTTCATGGATTTTGGATAATCAAAGGAGGAATTTGATGATTTGAAGATCTCCATTTTATATCAATGAGCATTTCTTACTCTCTTCTCTCTTTATGCTTTATTAATTTGTTAATCATGTTTGAGTAGATTACCTTCTACTAGGTGTTGAGTGAAGCTTTGTTATGGTTAATTGAGTTATTTGAGATAAATTTGATGATAATTGTGTGATTAAATTGATTGAATTGATGATGGCATGTTGTTTGTTTTAGATTGGATTGATCTCCCAAGATAGCAAACTTAATTGCATGTTAGTTCTAGTTTGACAAGGGATTGTGAATTAGAATTTATATATTTGATTGCATTTTGGGTAAATTTCTTCTATGCACCTAGTCAATGAGGGATCTAGGCTAGGAATTTGAGAGATTGCTCTTGATGGTAATTAATTCCCATTTTAATTCTTTCTTTGCATGATTGATTATCAAATCGATTCCCATTAACTTGTTAATTGTTCAAAATGGATCTTTGCCCCTAGTAGACTTTGTAATATCTTGATCTTTATATGTGTGTTAGTGTAGTTGTAGTGTCCACTATCCATAAACCGACTTCGGCGTAGCTTAAGCATTAGATCGAGAACAATCCAACATTACCGTTCCTTGTGGTTCGACTCCGAACTTACCACTAGACTTGTTTAGGGGTTAGTTTAGGATTATAATAAATTTTGTTTGGCCGTGAGGAGGTTAGTCAACGACCTAATTTCCCCGCGCTCAAGTAATCAGAGTAGGATTGAATGAAACCATACCCTTTTAAAGTTGTCGTTAGATTTGCAAACCAACACCGCGGAGCCTGTTTCAACCCATACAACGACTTCCTCAAACGACACACCAAGGATGGATCAGAACTCTCAAACCCGGGGGGCAATTTCATGTACACCTCCTCATCGAGATCACCATGTAAGAAGGCATTGTGAACATCCATCTGATGAAGATCCCAATTTTTAGAAGCCGTTATTGCAAGAAAAGCTCGAATTGTAGTCATCTTAGCCACGGGAGCAAAAGTTTCACCATAATCGATGCCTTCCTGCTGATGATTACCAAAAACAACCAAGCGAGACTTGAGTCGCTCAACTTGACCATTAGACAAAAATTTTGTCTTGTACACCCATTGACTTCCTAAAGCTTTCTTCCCTGGAGGAAGATGTTCTAAAGTCCATGTGCCATTATCTTCTAAAGCTTTTATTTCTTCTTTCATGGATTGCTTCCACCCCTCATACTTCATAGCCTCTTTGAAAGACTTAGGTTCTTTGTCATGAACAATGGCTGCAAGAAACTTGCGATAATTCACAGAAAATTTGACACAATTTATATAATGTGCTAAAGGATAAGGAGTACCTGAAGAAGTGTTGGAGGATGGAGTGGACGTAGACGGACTATTAGCAAAAACGGAGTGAGTCACATAATCACGAAGCTTGACAGATGGAATTTTTTCACGAAAACCGCGACCTAACTCCTCATGTTCACGTACCTCAAGATGCTCAGGAGAAGCATGGTGCTGCTCGGCACCCATGTTGCTGCTGCTGTGAGGCTCGGCAGTCATGTCGCTGCTGCTATGCGGCTTGACGGGGGTCTGCCAGACAGCGTCTGGGTGTGCAGCAGACTGCTCCGCGGCCTGGCTGCGGGTTGTGTCCTGTGGCTGCGGGGTGATCTGCCGTAGCCTCTGTAGCTGGCTGCCCTGAGTGTGGCTGACCCGGGGCAGCTTGCTCTTCCTCATTGAAGCCATCAATAACGCCATTTTCATCATCAGATATCTCGTACTCCAAAAAATCCCCATGAACTTCACTATTTGTGTCAAAAAATTCCGGCACTATGTTCACATCAACCGGAGTACCAAAAGGAAACACATCCTCAACAAACTTCACATCTCGAGAGACAAAAAAAAAATTCGACTCAAGATCATACAACTTCCATCCCTTCTTCCCAAAAGGATAACCCAAAAACACACATTTTCTACTCCGACTCGCAAATTTGTCTCCATTAGTTTTCTGATTATGAGCAAAACAAAGACAACCAAAGGTACGAATTGCATCAAACAAGGGTGGTTTATCAAATAATAATTCGAAAGGTGTTTTATTTTGAAGCAAGGGAGTGGGAGTACGGTTAATTAGGTGAGCTGCGGCAAGAACACACTCCCCCCAAAAATAAATGGGCAATTTGGCTTGAAACCTTAACGCTCTCCCAACTTCAAGAATGTGTTTGTGTTTGCGCTCAACCCTCCCATTTTGCTGAGGAGTACCCACACAAGAGGTTTGAAAAATAATTCCAGTGGCACGAAAATAATCAAACAAACAATTAAATTCCGTACCATTGTCACTCTGCACAATTTTAATGGTTTGGGAAAACTGTTTATCCACCATTGCAACAAAAGCCAAAAAAAGTTCTTAAAACCTCAGTTTTATCAATTAATAAATAAATCCAAACTGCTCGAGAATAATCATCCACAATAGTCAAAAAATACCGAGCTCCACACGACGAAACATGTCGATATGGACCCCACAAATCACAATGTACTTTCTCAAAACTCCTAGAAGCTCTACTATCACTTAAAGGAAATTTATTTCGAGGATGTTTAGCACGCATACATACTTCACACCCTTTATCTAAACAAGCTTTATTGCTACTAACATGAGGAAATAACTTAACTACTTTCTCGGAAGGATGACCCATTCGACGATGCCACAACTCCAAATCTGAGGATGCTTCAACAACGCCTACAAGGTGCACCGAATCCGAATTGCTAAAATAATATAGTCCGTCTCTCCTAGCTCCCATTCCAATCAGCTCCTTCGCTTGGTCTTGTATATCACACATATAAGAATTAAATTGGACAAAACAATTAAGCTCATTAGTAAGTTGAGATACTCAAATCAAATTACAACTCAAATAGGGGACATAAAGAACACCGGTGAGGGTGATCTTGTCCGATAAACGAACTAAACCAACTAAAGAGGCAACCACTGTGTCCCTGTTAGGTAATCCAACAGGACACTCAAAAGAACGAGTATCAAACAACCAAGAGTCTTTGCCGGTGACATGGTGAGTGGCTCCGGTGTCAATAATCCATGAAGTAACATCAAACTTACCATTCAAACGATTTTCATTGGCTTTACCAAATAAACCCGTGATCGCCTTCCATTGCTCAGATGTGAAAGCTTGACCATGAGAAGGAGCATCCGAACCCAAGATTGCATTAGCCCGTGCCGAGCCTTGACTACGACCAACCGAGGTTGTCCCCCCTGGCTACTATCACTCGTGCCTGGGGGGATACCCATGAAGTTCGAAGCACTTGTTCTCTATATGCCCCCTTTTTTGCAATGATTGCATATTTTATCTGACCAACATCGAGAAGTCTCATGACCACCCTTCTTACACTTAGCACACACTGAACCACTAGAGGTGCGATCAGACCCTTCACGACCTCGAGCACCACCTCTACGAACAACAAAACCGACAGCTTGTTGTGGTTCCTCTCGAACCCTATCAAAGCTTCGGACAAGCTCATCTTGTGAGACTTGTTGATAAGCTTTATTTAATGTGAGCAGAGGGTCTTGTGCTAATATATTAGATCTAGTTTGAGCATAATAATCAGAACAAAGACCTAATAAAAATTGTTGGAGCCTATCATCTTCACGCCTTTTCTCATGTTGCCTACCAACATTACATGTACACTTCCCACACTTTCAATTAATTAATGGTTCAAGTTTGGCAAGTTCATCCCACAAAACTTTTAATTTGCCAAAGTAAATAGCCACTGACATATTTTTAGTTTGCTCACATCTATTTATTTGAGCCTTCAAATTTTGAATACGAGGACCATTAACAACACAAAATCTTTCATGCAAATCACCCCACAAACTTTTTGCATTATCATAATTAGAAAGCATAGATTTTACCTCCGGATCGATCGTGTTCATGAGCCATGAAACGAGCATACAGTGCAACCGAATTGGAGTGATAAAGTCACCAGGCCTATCATGCGCCCCTAGATAGAATGGTGAATTAGTTTCTATTTTTTGTGGTGGCGGTGGTGGTGGTGTATCATCACCGGCCATGGCTAAATTTTATGAAAAAAAAACTCTGGCTCTTATACCATGTAGAATTAATGAAACAGAAAGCTTGAATATTATTTCTCAGAGAACCACCATATATAATACAAGCTAAAACAATCCCAATCAAGATAGAATTAGGAAAGTATCAAAAGATATTATTAACTACCTAAAATATGCTATCAAAGATATCCTAAGATATTTGGAAAATATATCCTATTTTCCTCAATACTCTAGGAGTAATATTTTATTTTATTTTTAATAAAAAAATTACAAAAAAAAAGGTTTAATTTTGTAACTTAATATGTGTTCATGAGACACGTTGGGAGTGTTAGACAATTTGATAGTCCAAACTCAAAAGGTATACACAAACTATTGGGTCAGTCAAGCCTGACCAAATAGTTCGTGCGGCGGAGGAGATGACGATTACGACGATGACAAAAATGGTGGATCTCCTTCTCTCCCTGTAGGCAACGATGACGATGAAGACTAACGGCGAAGGAGAGAAGCAAGGTAATTCATGGCGGAAGAGAGAGAAAATTTAATTCTCGGTTTTTCAAAAAATGCCCAAAAAATCGAATTGGGGCTTTCTTGTGATTATATGTTGAAATTTTTGGTCTCATATGATTATATGTTGAATAGTGAGCATTTTGATGACAAATGCATGTATTTTGGTTGAAAAATGAGCAAGTTATGTTATACGTACCCATGACCTATAGTATGAGCTTTTCAATGAAGGTTCTGCCATTGTATACATATTATCAAACAAATTATACATATCCTCAAACAAGCTATGTATATCCTCCATCAAATAATTTATATCCTCCAATAATTTATACATATCATCTACTAGCTGGATCATATCCTCTATTGGTTATATGATATTATGGCTGAATGATATCCTCTATTGGCTATCTAATATCATTTATGATTGTGTCTATGATATTCTTTATTGGTTGGATGATACCTCTACTGGTTGGATGATATCCTCTATTGGCTATATGATACCATAACAGGATGATATCCTCTAGTGGCTATATAATATCATTTATGATTGTATCTATGAACACATATTCTCTATTGGCTATATGATATTATCATCCTCTATTGGCTATATGATATTATCCAACCATAATATCATATAGTCAATAAAAATAACCATCTAGCCAGTAGAGGATATCATCCAACCAATATAAGATGTCAAAAATTTCGTCTGATTGACGCAATACCTTCTCAAAGGTATATTAGCGGCTGTTTATAAACTGTGTTTGGTATACACAATGGTTGGTTATAAATTTCTATTATTTGTATGATAAATGAGTCCTTTCCTCCTTTTATTTTATCATTGAGTATTTTTTAAAAATGCAAATGTCATTCTCAATAAGCTACCTAACTAACATTTCAATTTTACATTTTTGAGCTCTTTGGCCACATGACAAAATCAAGATGATTTATTTAAATATGATGCATAAGTAAATGATGATCATCATTTCATCGATGCCCTTTTCTATAAGAAAATCATGTACAACTTTTTCGATATAAAATATGTGGGACACATTGATATGGACTATTTAAACTACTTTGTGAATACATGGTGATTGGTGATATATATTTAATTGAGAAACTTGTCAATTACTACCTAGCAAACTTGTCTCTTATAAATTACTACAATTTGATTATGATTTTGCAAATTACTACCTCGTGCTTAATTTTGCTACATTATAACATACATTTTGGTGAATTTGGTCTACAAATAACATCATAATAATATATGCTAATGTAGTAATGTGCTTATTGGGGTTTTTGATAAATAAATAGTAAAACAAATAAATAGAAAAATTAAACAAAAACCAATAATTACTCTGGTTCTCTTAGTCAAAAATTAATTCTATGTTTGGGCCATATTATTTTAAATTATACTATCATATTGTATGAACTAATCTAAACATTATTATTAATTTAAATTTAAACTTTTTTTTATTAATCAAGTTAAAAACTTAAAATATAGATGAAACCATTGTACCCTAATCTACCCATATCTCTTTTATGATATCTCCTCTTTCCACTATCAATTCTACAAAAGTTGGAAAAGCAAATTAATATTGCCATTGTAGGATCCAAAAAACTCAAAAATTAGTTCTGATTAATTCAATGAAATTGGGATATGTTATGATTTTGGGTATATATAATTTTTTTTCTTGTCTTTTTATATAATTTTCTTGGCATTTTATAAAACCCCCTAAAGATTCATTAGTATCTATTATGATGTCATTTGAATGTCATATTCAATGAAAGTTACACTTAAATAATAATATACACCGTAATAAACACGAATTAATTTATTGAATAATAAACCATAATTTGCAAAAAAGAATTTAAAGATAGTAATTCACAAGAAGACAAGTTTGCCAAATAGTGATTGACAAAATGGTCTATTTTAATTTGGGTTTGCCATGTTACAAACCCAAATTCCATGTTTCCAATATCCTGCCTCAAACTCGATCCGCACCTACATTTTCATCGCAAATTTTTTTCTGGTCTCGCACCATAAAAATGAACATTTACTAGAAACAAAATGATCATTTACTAGAAAAAGAATGAACATTTAATTATTTGAAGAAATTTCTAGAAATCGAGTTTTTCTCTTATGGCGATCTCAGAATCGCACGGAGATTATTGGTGCAACAGCGATGACAACGGTGATGGCGGCGGATTATTGCGATTCTCTTCGCCAGAGAGGTAGTGCAGCTGGTGGTGCGAGTATTAAAGCTTCTACTTCTTCTTCAATGGCGGAAGAAGCGGAGGATTCGAAAAAAATCTCTAATGGAGAAGCCGGTGATGATGACAAACTTGTTGATGGCGCTGAGAGCTAGTAATGATAGTGAAAGGAATAATTATGAGAATGTTAATGATGAAGGTGAAGCTAAGGTTGTTAATGGCGGTGGAGCTCACGATTTTGAAACCGCGATTCAGTACTCGTATTGGTAAAATATGTTAGTTAGAAAATGAACATTTATTTTACACGAATGAACATCATACTGTATGAAAATGAGCATTAAGTTACTAAGTATTATTGTAAAATAAGTTAGTTAAAAATGTTCATTTTTATCAGAGTAAATGTTCATTTTTGACTGAGGGACCAGCCAACTCTAACTGGTCTCGAGAGAGTCGAGACTAACTATTAACAACTAAATTTTTATAGATTAGTACATTAGTTAACCAAGTCAAACCTCAACATACGTATCAATGTATGTGATGCTCTAATTATCGTTCGGCCCAATCCATGATCACCCCTAAATTCGGCCCTAATACAAACTCCATATAAAAAATTAATTCTCAACTATCATGCATAATAAAATGGATTAATTTTGGATCTGAATATCTGATAGCTGATGCACAATTGCGCATAAGCACATTACAGCCAGGACGGCAGTCGGCAAGACTACACACACCGACAGTCAGTAGTCAAATCATTTATTGTTTTAAAGCGCAGCCAAACTTCCTGCTACTTCCTTCCTTCTCACATACCCTCTACTCTTCTTCATCTTCATCTTCATCTACCTCACTCTTTCTCTTTCTCTCTCCTCCATTTTCAGATCTTCTGGGGTCTAAAAATGGAGTCTTCTTCATCTTCCTGCAGCTGCAACTGCAGTAGATCCATTGCTAAACTCACCAGTTTCACTCTTTTCTTTGCTGTCCTACTTTCTTGCTCCTTTTTTACATCAACTGGTAATTACCCACTTCACTTCTCTTGTTTATTTTATTGTTTTTTGCTCTAATTTGTGTTTTTTTCAATCAAATCAACCATGTTGTTGTTATTCAATTGATTTTTTTATTGCTGTAGTTAATTTAGTACTTCTTAATTTTAGTCAAATTGGGTGAATTTATCTTCTGGGTATTGTTGATTTTGCTTTGTTATTGAGATTTGAGCTGAATTTATTGCCAATTTTGTGTTTTGGAATGTTGGCTGTTTTTGCTAAATTTGTACAGTGATTGATGATGCAGGATTTAATGTTTTATTGGTTGCTTTAGAAATTGGAAAATGAAAGTTAATGTGATTAGTTGAAATTACTAATTATGTTACCTTACTTTAATGAAAAGGAAAGAATAATTAAGGTTATGAGATCATTGTTGATTTGATCTGTTAATTTGGATCAATTTGATTATATTTATTGGATGTTATGCTTGAATTATGCTAAGATCTAATCACACTCTTTGTGTTTGATTGCTGATCTCTTTTGTAGAAGCTTATGATGCACTTGATCCGAATGGAAATCTTACTATCAAATGGGATGTTATCAATTGGACCCCTGATGGATATCTTGTAAGTATTACTAGACCAAAGTTTTGTTATTTTGGAATTATATCGTTGTTTTTGTACGTGACTAGATTAGTTGGTTAAAGTCTTGTGGTTGGTACCTAGATCAAATTTTGTCCGTCTACATCACTGCACTTAGTGGCTCCCTTGACACTAGAATAAAAGTAATAAGAGTAATTTGCAATCAAGATATGTAATTATGTGAAGCCCTCCGAATTTATATTTTTGCCTAGACTTGTTGGTTAGAGGCTTGAGGGTTTAGTTAGTTAGTTAGTTTGTTTGTTGTCTTTTGGATGTTGCAAGGTTATGCCCGCTTTTGATTCAAAGCGTTTAGAATGCCTGCCATTTACGTGGATTCAATTAGTTTGTTATCAGCCACATTAAGAACAATCTTTCCTAAGCCATGTACACGAGATTGCTAAATCATCAAGTTTCATTTTGTTGACTTAATTTCTACTTCAGCGAATTATGTCATTATACGCAAACATTATAGTGAGAAGCAAATTTGTGTCTCTTCCCCGTTTCTTTCGTTAGTTAAATCCTTATGCTTTGTTTCTGGCAGGCTGTTGTCACAATGATTAACTTCCAGCAGTACCGCCATATTCAAACCCCAGGGTGGACACTTGGATGGACATGGGCCAAAAAGGAGGTAATATGGAGTATGGTGGGTGCACAAACCACAGAACAAGGAGATTGTTCAAAATTCAAAGGGAACATTCCTCATTGTTGTAAAAAGGATCCATCAGTGGTAGATTTGCTTCCTGGAACACCTTACAACCAGCAAATCGCTAACTGCTGCCGTGGAGGGGTACTAACTGCCTGGGGCCAGGACCAAGCCAATGCTGTTGGCGCTTTTCAGATTAGTGTAGGTCAAGCGGGAACATCTAATAAGACAGTTAAGCTGCCAAGAAATTTCACACTGATGGCACCAGGGCCTGGATATACTTGTGGGCCAGCAAAGATTGTGAGGCCAACCCAGTTTACGACATCTGATAAACGAAGAACCACTCAAGCTTTGAGTAAGTGGCCTGCTTATTAATCTTAGGCATTTGTTGTTTTATATTAGGCATTTGGTTTGTTGATTGACTTGGTCCTTGAACTTATGAATCATGGTGGAAAGTGCATCTCTCTCTAAGCAAGATACTAAATATAGTTTCTGACTTATCTGTGAAACTTATAACTGATAGTTTCAGATTCATATGCCAATTCTTAAATTTATTGTTCTCGATTATGCTTTCCAATGATGTTTCTGTGGTTACTAGAGCTTATATATCTTACTGATGTTGAGATGATTTCAAAGTTTACTAATAGCAACAACATTTCTTCATGGCAGTGACTTGGAACATAACTTGCACATATTCTCAGTTCTTGGCTCAGAAGACTCCTACTTGCTGTGTTTCTCTCTCCTCATTTTACAATGACACTATCGTACCCTGCCCAACTTGCTCTTGTGGATGTCAAAACAACATAACCCAACCAGGAAGCTGTGTTGAGTAAGTGACCTTATCATAGTGGTTTTTTTGTGAAAAAAATTTCATATATACTCTTTTTGTTCTGACTAAAAGGTGATAATTGCAATTGCAGAGCGGACAATCCCTATTTAACTTCAGCCATTTCAGCTGGTGGACCAAAATCTAGTAACAAACCTCTACTTCAGTGTACCAGTCACATGTGTCCAGTTCGAATTCATTGGCATGTCAAGGTCAATTACAAGGATTATTGGCGTACTAAGGTTACTATCACAAACTTTAACTACCGAATGAACTACTCGCAATGGAATCTGGTTGTGCAGCATCCCAATTTTAATAATCTCACACAATCATTTAGTTTCATGTACAAAGGATTGACGCCTTATGATGGTTTGAGTAAGTATCATCTCTTTGAATTTACTAAATAATGTACCAATCAAGTGTTGATTGATTGTAATTGTTTCTAATGATTCTCTACTGGGTAATTTGATGTTGTTTGTTACAGATGACACTGCCATGCTATGGGGAATTAAGTTCTATAACGATTTTCTAAATGAAGCTGGGCCTTTCGGGAATGTGCAGTCAGAGCTGCTATTTCAGAAAGACAAAACAACTTTTAGTTTTGAGAAAGGATTTGCTTTTCCACGGCGGGTGTACTTTAACGGAGATAACTGTGTGATGCCTCCTCCAGATGCTTACCCATGGCTACCAAATGCTAGTTCGAGACCTGTTATCTCTCTTCTACAACCCGTCATGACTATCTTGGCTGCCCTGGCTTTCTTACTTGCGTATGCTTAGAGAGAAACATGTCAGCTTTCCAGATTTCTCTAGACTCACTAGTGTGATGGACTTTCACCTTGACTTGACCAACTGCTCTCATTGCTGCTTAAAGTCCAGTGATGCAATATGACCCTGTTCAGGTATACCATTCATCGCTTCTAGAAAGAGCGTACATTGTCTAATGAAGTGTTTGTCTAATGAAGTGTTGAAAATGAGAATCTGATGCCGTTTTGTTTAGAGATAGGCTCTTTTGTACACGTATTTATACTTTTAATTTATATTCTTTTTTTTTTTATTATTCTTCATAGAGTATTTATTGAGACGTGTATTTCAGTCGTTGTAACTTGTAAAAACTCTGGCCATGGAAATGCAAGTGTTATATAGAGTTGCTTGTTGTATTTGCTGTGGTGCATTCAATATTTGATGAAATTCACAAAGTTCATCCTTCAGAAATATTGCAGGATGATTTGTATTCAAATTCGATCTAAAAATACGCAGTACAATTGTATAACTCTTTTAAATCAAGGCAGAAGTCTAGCTTAATGCACACTTACTCAAAAATTCACAAGCAACGTGTTGGTGAAAGAGCATTACCTAATATATAAGAAGAACCATTAATGTGTATGTACCGGCTACCATTAAGTAAGCGAAGGAAATCATACTGGCCGAGCTTGGTAGTGAAGGATATGCATCTGGTGGTGGAAGTCTGCATTCATCTCCATTGAAGTAAACTTTCCTAGGAAATGCCCATCCTTGTCTGAAGGTGAATGTGCTTTTGTCTTTCTGTAGAAGTACTTCAGACTGCACATTCCCATCAGGTCCAGCTTCCATTAAAAGATCATTATAAAACTTCGTACCATAGAACATACCAGTATCATCTGCGAAAAAAGAAATAGGAAGTTACAAATCAGAGGGGGCTTTAGCGCGATTACTTTGTAACTGCTGCTTGTTATAGCAGCAAGTACTTGAGAAATGTTAGAATATATAACATGCCCTAGAATAATCATAAATTCATTATCACTTCTGAACATATATAATCTTTTATTCAAGGAGTTTTTGCTGTCTATTTAGTATTTACTAGGAGTTCAATATCAAAAACAAAGTGTGTTAGTTGTATAAAAATTTTCTGGTTAGAGGCACTTACTAACTGAATGATACGGTACTACAGGCTTGTAGTCAAAGCTGAAAACTTGGGTGACATTGTTAAGATTGGGATGTTGAACCACCAATGTCCACTGAGTATAGTTCATCCGATAATTGAAATTAGTTACTGATATCTTGGCACGCCAGTAATCCTTATAATTGATCTTGACATGCCAGTGGACTCGAATAGGGCACATATGATGTGTGCATTGTAGAAGAGGCGCGTTATCCTTCCTTGGAGTGTTTATTCCTCTTGAGTGTGATTTCTTTGAGTTCATCCTACATTTCAGTCAGGCACATAATGGAATTATATATGCTACTGATTTTGTTGTATATTTTCTAAATTAGGGAGGTATATATATCTATCGGTCATTTACCTGATACAGCTACCTTTGTTGTGGCAACCACAAGAACAAGATGGACAAGGAACGATTGTGTCATTGTAGAAAGAAGAGAAGGATACACAACATGATGGGTTCTTTGAAGCCAGAAACTGCGAATAAGTGCATGTTACATTCCATGTCACTGCAAGTTGAGCAGCAATCTGTTCAGTATGCTAACATTACAGTAGAGTACTTCAAAACATTCTGGTTGAAATATATTTGTCAGTTCAAGTATACACTTAAACTGCATGTATATTTCATAACAAAACATGATTAACATGAAGTAGCTAACAAGTCAGATAACTAACAGATTTGCAAATTTGTATTTTGTTTGTGATTAGGATTTAGGGATGTCATTAAGGGCGTTGATGGGGAGTGTGGGAGGTGATTTACAAGGAAAAATTCTTACTGAGCGCTTGAGTTTTCCTTCGGCGATCAGAGGTGAGGAAAACTGTGGAAGGCACAATTTTTGCTGGGCCACAAGTATAGCCAAGACCAGGTCCTAGCAATGTAAAATTCTGAGGGAGCTTCACAGTCTTGTTTGATGTGCCAGCCTGCCCAACACTGACTTGGAAGGCAGAGATCGCGGCAGTAGGGTCCTGTCCCCATGCTGCAACTACTCCACCCTTGCAACAGTTTGCAATCTGCTGGTTATAGGGTACTCCTGGAAGCAAGTCCACCACTGTCGGGACCTTCTTACAGCAGTGAGGCACGTTGCCCTTAAACTTGGAGCAGTCCCCTTGTTCAGTAGTCTGTGCTCCCACCATTGACCATATCACTTCTTTCTTCGCCCACATCCATCCTATTGTCCACCCAGGGCTCATTATTTGCCGATACATTTGGAAGTTGTTTATCGTGACCACTGCCTGTTAAAAGTGCAACATATATGTCTCTTGTCTCTTGTCTTTGAGAAGTTGATTTCTTAAAATAGATGAGAAATTCGGTACTTACCACATAACCATCTGGAGCCCAAGACATTACATCCCATTTGACTGTTATGTTACCATTTGGATCTAATGGATCATATGCCTCTGTAATTTTGAAGGGTAATAGATTCAGTTAATAGGAAAGATCATAAAATAAGCCTTATTCTTGCAAAATTATATTTGTTTACAACAATACAAGCTCGGAGCATTACCTGCTTGACAGGAAAGCATGAGAACAGCAAGTGCAACATAGAGCGCGAACTTCAGTTCAGCTTGTGCAACTAAATACCTTTCTTTCGCAACGTGTTTTTGGATCAAAGGTACACATGTTTTACACCCCATGTTCTTTTTTTTAGCAGAAACACTGAGGAATACTTGTGAAAAAACAGATAAAGATGAGATAATATATGGAATTGGTTCACCTGGGATTGTTAGGTGTGTCATGAGATATTTCATATTTCATGTTCCATTTTATCTACTATCTGATTGGTCAGTTGGTCTGATTACTTCCTTTTTAAGTAAGATTTTAGTGAGGAAATGAACTGAAGATTAATTATGTTTTAGAGACAGTTGAGCGTAAAAAGGTCAGCAATATCTCTCAATCATGTAGGAAAGCTAGAGTCTACCAAAGTTAGCTGATATTATTTTGGTATGAATTGTTAGCCAAGTATACATCATTCTATACCATACATTAGCGTACTATACAGAGATCAACCGATACATAAATATGTTATTTGTGTTCAGACATTATTATAATCTTATAATCGACAAAAATTAAACATTATAATTCTATTTTTGCTAACCAAAGGCAAATTAAACACGAACACGAAAAATATTAAATCATTTAAATGTACTCCATAAAATATTTTATCTAAACACGGACCAATTTTGTTCTTTCATCACCATCCTCATCATGGTACGTCAAAATCTTCCTTTGGTTTCGCTTGTGCAGTACTAAGCTCTCCATATAAATGTCAAAATACATATGACCATCATTATAATCTTCCAAATGTTGTATCCGGTGACTTCTGAAGTTATAAGAATACAATCTATCTCTATTAAATACGAAAAATGTATTCTTATCAACATCAAAAATCTTGGTACGAATACTTGTTGTAAGAAACTGAAGAGCTTTTGAATTTGAATCTCCAGTATACCACAGCCGCCATGATTTAGATTTATCCCCACCATATTCGACCAAAACCCATATGCAGGCACGATCCGAAGACATAGCGAAAATTGCTATAGACTCACCAAGGACAAAATTAATTTTAACTAGACCTGGTTGTCTAAGAGCATCAGGCAAATCCACAAAGATGAATTCCTCGGAATCATAATCGAACGATACAAGATGATTATGTACGCCACGAGGTTTATCCTTTTCAAAGCCTAACCAGTACATAGAACCCTTACAATAAAATTCATCCCCGTCATTATAACTTAAAAGGCCTCGAACGTGAGCATCCGACCTATCTTTGATCCTCCAAAGGTTATCATTTGATGAGTAAATCACTATCGAAAACTCAGAGTAATCAAAAGCAACAACCTTATAATCATTAGTAGACAGGGCGAAACCTGGCCGAAATATCAAAGTGAAACAAGGACAAGGGGGGATCGACCAATACTTTCGAATAGAGGGATTATAATATACCATCTCATCCTCCTCCGGCGTAATTTCATAAAATGCATGCATCACAATTAATCCATAAGAGCTCCATATTACAACACACTTATCAGGAGTTTTAAATATTTCATCAATTTTTCTGAATGTGTCGATACTATAAACTATACTTTTGTAGCATTCCATGGCTATCACGTACTTGGGCTTTTTTGTTGTAAATTTGAAGATGCAAAAAACTGAAATAAGAAGAACCAATTAATGAACACCAGCTTTTACAAACACACCTTAATCTCATTAAGCTTTTCGTCGGCAGCCTCGCTAAAATCTCCGTCCACAAATCCATCGATAAACCCGGCAATGCTTCTGCCATTGATTCACAATTTAAAGTTCTTACAGAAGATTGGAAATAACAGGTTACAGGAAAAATACACTTTATTAATCTCCGTCCGATTTACTTCTAATAATCCTAACTAAAGTTTATAAATTTGTTAGAAAGGGACTTATATTTTCACTTTTTTGTGAAAAAGGACTTTATATGTTCAAAGTGAAGGGTTTTAGGTATTTTGAGCGGAATTTCATGAATCTCATTCATACGCACCTAAACAGATCTCATGCATATACAAATAAAGGATCACATAATAGTTTAGAATTAACTTTTGATGCGTGAATTCTCAAACTTTCTTCTATCTTCTTGCGGAGATTAGAGCCCCAATTGTTGCTTCTCTAATATTGGTCCACAAGTGTAGATCGAACCTCCACCAATGCTTGTTGGACGGGAGAGATTAGTCTCCTCTTCTATGGAGAACTTCAAACTGGTTGTAGAGAGAGAGGAAGGAAAAAAATATTACGTTGTTTCTTTTATAAAAGATGAACGTGGTTATCTTTTTCCCCAAGCCCTTTATTATATATAATCATATTATCCAATTAGGGCAAGACCTATTCCTATCTTACTCCTTATGGCCAGTCATTCACTAAGCTCAACTTTTGGACTCGGTATTCTTGTTTCGACCTAACATCGTAATGTGTTACCTCATAGGATCCATTTAGTTGGCATTGGTTTAACCCAATGATCAATATTGGTCTCTAGCAAGACGTAAAGACAACCCAACTAAACGAACTTATTATCTCCATAATACGATCCGTATTATATCAGTAATTGCACGAGAGTCGAGGACACATTTCCTTCTCAAAGTGGTGAAAAAAGGCCTTATAAGTCACTTTTGTTGTGAGGAGGGACCTTGACATCGGAATATAGCCATTGACTTTACTTTTCCGGTGTTGACCATCACTCATGTGGCACGTGATGTTTTAAAAAGGCCCTTTCGTTCATTTTTTCATTCCCCACGTTATCACGTTTTCTCTCTTACTATTCCCAAATTTTCTCTCAAAATCCCTTCTATTTCCTTAAAATCAAGAGAAAAAAAAAGGAAAAAACATTTTTAAAACATCATGTGCACATTACATAATGGTCAATGCCGAAAAAGTGAAGTCGGCGGTCATATTCCGATGTCAAGGTCCCTCCTCACAACAAAAATAACTTACAAGGACCTTTTTCACCACTTTGAACATATAAGACCCTTTTTCACAAAAAGGTAAACATATAAATACCTTTTAGACAAATTAACAAAAACTAATTACCTGGCCTGCTGAATTTTTTTTTAATTTTTTAAACGCCACATGTCAATACATGATTGGCATAATAAAAAAAAATTACAGAAAGCAAAAAGCCCAGCCCTCCCTTGCCGTAAAATTACATGATTGGCATAATAACGGTTACAAGATTCCTCTTTTGAATAGTATGATGTCAATTATACTCAGTATCATTCAAAATGTGTAAACATAATTCCAGCAAAGGCTTAATCATACAAAATATTCCGTAGCTGCCGTATAATCAGCTTGTATCGTTCGATTTTGATTCCGAGGAATTTAACTTTGTTGATTTGCTTGATGCTCTTAAACAAACAATTTATGATAATTGATAAGTGAACAGACTGGGCTGTTGTCCAAACATAAACCCATTTCAACCAATTTGTGCTAACTATAGTCTACAAATATTCTTAGGTGCACACTCATGTACCTAGAAATAGGTGTAACAACAACACAATATGAACATTAGCTTTTCAGAAAGTGAACATTAGGTTTCTTCCCTTTATTTTTCTCCTTCATTTTTTTATTTTCTCTCTCTTCTTTTTTTTTTTTTTTTAATTTTCCCCTTTTTTTACACTTTTTTGATTGAATTTGTTTCTTACAACATGAAAGTAGTTATTAAGTATGAATTTTTGTGTGAATTACGATTTTGTGCCTTAATTTCGATTGGGGTATATATGAATCTTTGAATTTACAAATTATATTCTATTTTTTCTCCTTCCTTCTTTAATGCCTTTTTCCTCTGTTTTTTCTTTTTGTTTTGTTTTTTTTCTATTTTTCTCGTTTTTTTCGATTTAACGATAAAATATGTTACTTACAATATGGAATTGGTTGTTCATTTGATTTTTGAATTCATATGAATTGTTTTTTTTTTAGCTTCGATCAATTTCATTTGTGTATGAATTTCATTTGATTTTCTGCATTTTTTTTATCAATGAACATAATTACATAATCATGCAAAATATGAACGTATGCATAGGTTCCCTTAAATGTGAACATTAGCTTTTCAGAAAGTGAACATAAGCATAAAACATATGAACATATGCATTTAAGAAAGTAAACATAACAATTCAAAATATGAACGTAAGCATTGGTTTCCTTAAAGTGAATATAACCATTTAAAAGGTGAACATATGCGTAAAAATATGATCATATGCATTTAAGAGAGAGAAGATATGCATAAACAAACTTAATGAGAACAACAAATATTTACTATGAATATTTACACTATGAACATATAAAATATTATTATGAATATAAGGAATTTTATTATGAACATAAAAAATCCATGACGAATCAATTGATTTATTGTAGGCATCGCTCTTTGAAGAAATAAAAATAATATGTTTATGAAACATATGCATCATAATTCATAAGTATTAAAAATATGAACCTATGAATTCAAAATATGAACATATGCATTGGTTCATTTTTTAATGCGTATGAACATAATTAAGCATTTCAGAAGGTGAACATATACATAAAAAAAATATGAACATATGAATTTAGAAAGTGAATATAAGCATTTCAGAAAGTTTACAAACAAATTCAAAATATGAACATAAGAATTCAAAATATAAACATATGCATTTAGAAATGTGAACATAAAATATCCGTTTGATTTCACTAATTTATTTGACAATTTCAGTAATAAATTTCGAACAATATTCAAACAAAATTAAGTGATAATCATTTAAATTCAAACAAAATTAAGTGAAATTTACATAACATTGCCTTTTTGGGGAGGATCCTTTTGATTTTGCATCTCTTTTCTAATGTCCATTGAAGTTTTTGCAGTTTTTTTAGTGAAAGAATGAAATAGAGGAGAGAGAAAGTGAAAAAGAGGAGAGAGAAAATCATATAGAAGAAGAAGATTTTTGAGTTTGGAAATGACGTTATATTTATTAGGTGTGGGTGGGTTTATTGGGTGTGGGTGGGTGTATTGCAGTTTTCGTGTTTTTAGTTTTAGGGCTTTTTTTAATTGGGTTGTGTGTATTTAGGCTTTTGGGCTACGTTGTTACACCTATTTAAGGTGCACCTTAGACTAATTGTATAGTCTAAATAGTAGAGGTGATCGTTTGCGGGCTTGGACGGGAAACGGGCCGGACCTATACTTTATTTTTTGTCCAACGGGCTAATTGTAGCTAACTCGAGCCCTTTTATATGGGCTTGATAAATTGTCCAAGCCGGCTCTATTAACGGGTCGGGTTTGCCCGCGGGCTCACGGGTCTAAAATATTTGTTTTACATATATCTAACCCTAATTATTATTTTTTTTTATCATTTACATATGTTAATATTATTTCGATTTAGTTATCTTAAAAATTTCTTGATCACTAATGATACTAGCAAAAAACATATTTAACTTGTGACATATGTTAGTGAAAAAAAAGGAAAAAATAAACTTATTTAATACAAGTATAATGATTAAATATAAAACTGAAATAAATAGTTGTAGCTAATAATAGGTTAGAGTCCAATATAGTCTCTTTGTATTTATTTTCTAAAATATACTACATAATCAACTAACTAAAAAATCATTAAACTATTACTTTTTGAAATAAACGGGTCGGACGGGCTAGCCCACGGTACATATTGTCTTGTCCGTGTCCGCCCATTTATATTAACGGGTCGGGCCTAGCCCGCCCAAATTTTCAATTTTTTTCAAAATGGTTGTCCAAGACAACTTATTTTGCGGGCCAGGTTGGGCGGGTTGACCCGTCCATGAACAGCTGCTAAATAGTTATCTTAACGGTGGGCCTTGTTTCCATAGTCTTCTTTTGGGTCGTGTATATTTCAAATTGGGCCTTATTGACTCTAAAATCCAAAGTGAATTGAATTTGAGCCCTGTCAACAAAAATATAAAATGAGTCCAACAGAACTTGTTTGTTTCTGTTTTTTGTTTCTTACGAGTAATAGAAATGCCGTATACGTTGTAACTCAATTATTTTAGCCATTGAGATTTGAGGTCAACAAATTGCTACTTGTATTATAAATAAACGACATTATTATGTGTCTAAAATTATGTATATATTCGTGACTGCCCCACACACACGTTTACAAGTTCCAACAGTGTGGAGGGGGTTTACTACAATTATTCAAATGAATAAATCGGCTTGTGCTAATGGCTAGTATAAAACAGACAAAGTTGGTAGATCAACCTCAGGAAAATCAACAACTTTCAACAACTTTGTGTTTTAATAAACAAACTAATAACATTAGATGCATAAACTTGATCCTCATTTGGAAAAAAGAATAAGAATATTACAAATAAATAAATAGTGTATTGATGTCTAAGACCGGCAATGATACGCCTAATTGGGTACATGGTCGATCGTGGATCTCATTACCTTCAATAATCCTTCATATATACTTCGTACTTCTTACTACTCCCTCTGTTCCTTTAGTTTTGCTCTATTATTATCATTTTTTGGGTTAAACTTTTAAAACTTTGATCATAAATTATCATTAATCTAAAAAATATAATATAGTCATGAGTGGTATTGTTAGATTCGTCTCATTGTATACTTTATTAATATT